TCAGAACACCACTCAAGTGCAATCTCATGAATTCCCACTCAGTGCAATTTAATTGGGGGGGGGGGCGCCTGTGTTGTGCATACTGATGGAACCACGACGGGAAATCATTTCTCATAGGCGGCCATGCTTCCGAAAAAATTCCCATAAATCAGCAGAAGTTTTTTTGAGAAATCACAATGCCATCCTCTGAATCCTCGTCGCAAGTGCCATCATATACATTGCTAACTCAAAAATTCTTTCATATTTTTTTCTGTAAACAAGCTTTTCCCGGCACACACGAAATCGCCACTTTGCAATGTGAGTTTACGCGAAAAAGTAGGCTTCCTTCGAAAATTTCCCGGCCGCCCAAGCAATGCACACCGGACGAGCCGCTTACACTGTCGGATTCAGCAGAGATTCTAGTTTCGGAAATTAACAATTGCAAACAATTCTAACCCTCTCTATTGAGAAATAAAAAATTCAAGCGCACTCGTACACTGAAAAACGATCTCATTATTGATCTGTACCATTGCTCATTGGCTGATTTCCCACCGTAATACTTAATAGCGTAATAATATACTTAATAGTTATAGTATAATACTTAATCACACCGTCCTTCACTAACAGACGTTCTTGTGTTTTCTTGACGACGTGCAGGAGTGCCAGGGGTCGCTGCAGCATAAGACAGAACTTGTCGCGAAGCTGGAACACAAGACTAACCAAATGGCAGCAACGATCACCAACATGGAGCAAAGGTGAGAGGACGAGAGAGGAGGAGGAGATTGAGGGAGGGGGAGAGAGGGGGGAGAGCGAGGGAGAGAGACAGGGAGAGGGAGAGAGAGAGGGGGAGAGAGAGGGAGAGAGAGATGGAGAGGGGGAGAGAGAGGGGGAGGGAGAGAGGGGTGAGAGAGGGGGAGAAAGAGAGAGAGAGAAGGGAGAGAAAGTGAGAGAGGGGGAAAGAGCAAGAGGTAGAGAGAGAAGGGGGAAGGGAAGGGGGAAGAGATGAGGAGACAGCTAGAAAGAGGGGAGTGTATGAGAAGGCGGAAGGAAGAGAGGAATGGCCAGGGAGAGAGAGGAGGTTAAGGGAAGGAGGAAGTAAGAAAGGAGGATACAAAGAGGCGGAGGGAGAGCAGGAGAGAATGGAGAGAGAATGAAGGGGGGAAGAGGAATCAGAGGGATAGGATAGGGATAGGATGAGAGGAAGAGAGATGATAGGGAGAAAGAACGAGGAAAGAAGAGCTCGGGAGGTAGAGGGAGAGAAAGAGAAAGAGCGGGGAGGGGGAGGAAGGTAGTGAGAGTGGACAGGAGGGGAAGAAGGTGTTGGATTTTGTCACCACGTCACTTGTCACCTCTCCTTTCCATGACCTTGCTGTGACCTTTGTTATGTCCTTCCCCGTCCATGCTTGTTCCTGTGGTGCACAGGCACTTGGAACGTCTCAATAAAAAAAAAAAGGTAAATAAACACGAAATGTACCAAAGTCTTAAGGTTTCTCTACACTATTTCGCCTATAATCACCGTAAGAGAATGATATCTCTCTTATTCATGTTGTTTGTGCACGCAGCACAGCACCGGCGGGCGTTCGGTGTACTTGTGTGTTGCAGATGAGCATTTGACCGGCATTTGCAGGTGATTATAGGCGAAATAGAGTATAGAGAAACATTAAGACTTTGGTACATTTCGTGATTATTTACATTTATTTTTTTTATTGAGACGTTCCAAGTGCCTGTGCTGTGGTGCGTGTAGCGTGACTAGATTGTATTACTATTATAGGTAATACATATATAAGTTATATTATATGTGTATTAATTAGTGTTAGGTCCTACATGCAGTTAGGTTCTCTCT